CGAGCACCTTCAGTGTTTCTGGGTCTCAGTTTCCTCACCAGTAAAGTGGGTGAGTCATAACCGTGACCTTAGAGGACTGTGCTGAGAATTCAGTGAAGTTCAGTACCTGTTGACCTAGCACAGCGCTGGGTCACAGTGGGAGCTTAATAAATGCCACCTGCTCTGCCGTGATTAGGAAAGCAGACTGGCCCAGGTTCAGAGCCGGGCGCTCTCGGTATGGTGTATGTGCCTCAGTTTTCTCACCCCCGCGGTGGGGACACAGGTAACCACAGAGGGGCGATGGACGCCACCTCGGGGGACCCTCCTAGAGAGCAGTGCTGGGCTGGCTCCTTCCTCAGAGGAACTCTGCCAGTCTGCCCCTGCCCCCATCCTCCTTAGAAATGACGGCATTGCTGCAGGAGAGTTTCTTGCTTAAGCATCTTCAGATCCCAGCTACTAGCAGATCTTGAACTCCTTGGAGGCAGGGACCAGCTCAGAGGTTTCTTTTGCATTTGCCTCAGCATCGCACCTAGAGCTTCATCGTGTGTGTGTGTGAATCGAGGGCAGGGAGGAGGGAGGAAGGAAGCAGGGAAGACCGACACAAAGGAATAATAAAACCAAGGGATCAGCATTACTGCTCTCCCCGCTCCCTCCGCAAACCCCTGCAGCAGGCACTTACTTCTGGGCCCATGTCGCAGGTGAGGAGACAGGCTCAGAGAGGCCCCTTTCCCGTGTGATGACACGGCTGCAGGCGTCCAAGCCGGGCTCGTCTGGCTCCCATGCCTGAGCTCAGATCCCCGGCTCTGAGGTCACGGCCGTGGCGCCGTCTGCCTTGGTACACTTGAATGTGGGACACAGCTCTGAAGTTCTTGCCCCAGAGGAAGAGGAAGCTCCAAGGCAAGGAGGGGTTTGGGGTCTTAGCAAGCCTTCAGACACTGAGGCCGCTGAACCCACGTTTATATTTTGGATGCTTTATTCTGATTTTCAGAAGGGAGGCATGTAATACTTGGGCTCACGACCCTTCTCTGCCTGTGGCCTTGGGCAAACCTTTAATTCTCCGAGCACCTGGGACCTTCCCCCACTGGACTCACATGACCAGAGACTACGTGGATGCCAGGGAAAAGGTGCAAAATTAAACAAACATGAAGGGACACCACCCACGCAGGGTTGATGTGCAGGTTGGACACACAGGAGGGTGCTTGGCACGTGGTAAGCTCTCGCTCGGTGTTGCCCATCTCTGTCACACTGCCTCCATCCTCATGATCACAGTTCCCATCAACCACAAGATGAAGGGTGCACCTGCTTTCCGCCATGCACGGTCAGAGGTGCTGGGGACACAGGTGGGAAGAAGATGGAGTTCCCGAGGAGAGCACGTTGTAGGGGAGAAAAGACGCAACAGTGGATCAATGTGTCCTCCCAAGGGTGATGGGTGGTTTGGAGCTATGTAAGGCAGGCAGCGGGGAACGGACATCGCCAGCTAAGGGCATGTGTGAGCTGAGACCTGGACCGTGTCAGGGCCAGAGCCAGGCAGGCGTCTTGTGCAAAGGCCCAGAGGCGGGATCTCAGAGGGGCCAGGGCACTAGCCAGGAATGAGCGAGAGGGCAGCGGTGGGAGGACAGGAGGGAGGCCGGAGAAGTGAAGGGGCAGGGCCGTGGGACCAGCTGGGGTCTGACTCTGACCCGCAGGCTCTGACCTTTAACCTTTAACCCCCTGGAGGCTGAGAAGTTAATCTATTTATTTCGTTGATTAAAGTCCCTTCTTTCTCTTCCTAATCCTTTGTTTAGGACCCTCTGTGAGCATCACCTTGCTTGACATGAAATATTTTTCAAAACATTTAATCCTTTAATCTGGGTGCCTTTGGTGAAATCGGTTCTTTATCACCCAGGGCCATCTGTTGTTCAGGCCTCACCAGAAATCACTTGGGTGATTTGACTTCTAAGGCGCTTATCTCTTTTGTTCTCTCCTAATTCTGAGAAGCGACATCTGAGTTTTCCTCAGAGAGCCCAGGCACATCTAAACTGGATCTCTCCATGTGCCCCCCCTACCCCACCCCCGCCTCATTGGGGGCTGCCCTTAGGAAATCACCCACCTGGGAGGCATTGGAGGTGGGGGAAAGCACGTCCTGTCTGATCTCTGGGTTCTGTTAAATTTCATAAATGAGGCTCGATGTGAAAACAAGCTGGGCGGAAAAGCCGGCAGTCCCTTCCCGGCCACACTCAGCATCCCCGCTCGCCCTCCCAGGGAGGCCGGGGCAGCTGTCACCTCCGATTAGGATTCCAGCAGCAGGGCCCCAACATGGGTCCAGGGTTGCTCACTCTGAAGAAAATGAACTAGGAGTTGACAGCATGGGATGATGTGTCCTGCGTGCAACTTGGAAATTATTCCTGAGGATACAGGGATTGAGGGGTGGGATGGGGTGGCCCGAGCAGGGGGTGGCAGAAAGGCTGAGCCAGAGCTGGAAGATCCGAAAGTTACAAGGTTGCCTCTTTTGTTTGTTTGGGCTTTGTTTCTGCCAGATGTTGGCTTTGTATCCTTTTTTTGGGGGGGGGGGGCGGTCGGTTCACAGATAAAGTGGTTTAGATAAGGGAGAAAAGATGAATTCTCTGGATACAAAGTACTCCATGTAAAACATAAGCAAGGGTGTACTGTATAGCACAGGAAATTACATTCTGTATCTTTTAATAATGTATCATTTGAATCAGCCATAAATAACTGAATCACTTTGCCATATACCTGAAGCTAACATAATATTGGAAATCAACTACTATTTTTTTTTTTAAATTCTGGGTGAAGGGGGCAAACGCCCCACCCTCCCCAGGCTGTCCCCCCCACCACACTTGGTCACTGTTACCTTCCCCTCCCGGCCCTCAGTCTTAGCCTCTCGGGGTCCCTGGGAAGTAGTTTGAGAACCACTGGTCCTTGTGACTGCCCACCCCCCCCCACCCCCCCCCCCCCCCCGCAACCCATTGGTAGATGCATCTATTCAGAACCTATTCTTGGTGATCCGACGCCCCCTTCAGGGCACTGGAAGCAGTGCATGGGGTTTGCAGCCACCCTAGTGGCTGACAAATGCAGCAGACAAATGGTTTCCTGGTGCAATGCAGGAAACCCCGGTTCCATACCTGGATCAGGAAGATCCCCTGGAGAAGGAAATGGCTACACACTCCAGTATTCTTGCCTGGAGAATCCCATGGACAGAGAAGCCTGGTGGGCTATAACCCATGGGGTTGCAAAAAGCCAGATGCGACTGAATGACTAACACACAGTAGCTGCAGGGGACGGACGTTCAGACAGCCTTGACCTTTGAGGGCATGTGCCATTGTGCATCTTGCCTTTTGTTTATTTATTTTACTAACAAAGTTTTTCCTGTTAAGTACTTCTACTTCGTAAACTTTTTAATTGTCTTTAATTGAAAAACATCAGTGGGTTCATGGCAATATATATATATAACCTATGGAAAAGAGCATGCAATAAGGAGAAAAAAGTGTTGACAATAGGAAAAATCTCCCTCAACTTCAGAACCTAATTCTTCTCTTCAGAGGCAGTCTTTGACAACAGTTGCTTGTGTATTTTTGTATATCATTCCAAAGATGTTCTAGGCCTGTATAAATATGTGCCTTTTACATGTGTGTGCATACATACATTTTAAAACATAGGTGCAGAGCATACAAACTCTTCTACACTTTAGCTTTCTTTACAAATCACCATCTCTAGGGGGGTCTCTCATAAGCAGGTTTTAGTGGCTGCATGCTATTGCAGTTTGCAGCAGTACATTATTTACTTGGACATACAATGGGCAGAATTTTGAAATATATATATATGTTGGGGGATTGGAGGATCAGTAGTTACAGTGTTTTAGGTGGGAAGAGTAGTTCAGATAATAGCAGGTGGCGGGGCAACCCAGGGTGTTTTTTTTTTCACAGTGACTTACTCTGTCTCTTAACTGTGTGTGTGCACATGTGTGTAGGCATGTGTAAGACCTGCCCTCCAAACACCCCACCCTCAAATCCAGAAGCCGAACAGAGCTCCCGGCACAGATGGCGTCTGGTGTCACGGGAATCCAGAGTGGCTCACCTGGTACGACTTCAGGTCTCCCAGTCCCACCTCTAAAATGCTTCTTTTATTAGTCATGCACCCATACTTCTTATATGTTAAATAGTATATCATATTATTCACTTTTTCTGAAAACATAGTGCCAAAAAGTGGGAAAATCCTGAGTCAGGGTGACTCCATGAAAACGTACTATGGAGCCAGCACCCAGATCAAGAAGCACAATGGGGCCACTGTGTGTGCTATTGTGACATTGGGGTTTTCTTTTTTTTTGTTTGTTTCAGTATTATGTTTGTGAGGTTTATCCAAGTTGTCTGTTGTGTGAATTTATTCATTTTGTGTGTGATTTGTAAATTCTCAAAGTTCTATTTAAACATATGGATGATAAGGAATATATATGTATATATAGAAATATACATGTGTACATATCTCTGTGTGTATGTATATTTACATATACACCCTTTTATATGTAGTGAAAAGTGAAGTTGCTCAGTCGTGTATGACTCTTTGTGAGCCCATGGACTGTAGCCTGCCAGGCTTCTCTATCCATGGGATTTTCCAGGCAAGAATACTGGAGTGGGTTGCCATTTCCTTCTCCAGGGGATCATCCTGACCTAGGGATCGAATGCTGGCCTCCCACACCGCAAGCAGACTCTTTACCATCTGAGCCACCATATCCATACATAAATAAATACATCAGGATAGATGCTTGCTTAACGTACAATTCTTCTCCAGATTCATTCGTCTTTTGGCTACTGCTGGGCTCACCATCAGTGAGGCCGTTGTTTGTCAGTGAGCCTCACAGTCTGGGGCTCTTACAAAGAGAAATAGCATCTTTCCACGGTCAGAGCAGCCCTCCGAGGGTGCTTCTGCTGTGACCACGCCAGGACGCAGCAGCTCAGAGAAGCCCAGCGACTCACCCACAGCGCACAGCACCCAGCACATCCCACTGACGCGCCTTCTCCCCACAGGCCGAAGAGGTAGGCGGCTCCCGTCAGCCCCGTGCAGACCGCTGCCCGCCGCCCCCACGCTCGCTGCCCCCTGGTGCCTGCCAGGCTGCACGCTGCCAAGCCGACTCCGAGTGCCCACGACACCGGCGCTGCTGCTACAACGGCTGCGCCTACGCCTGCCTGGAGGCCGTGCCGCCCCCGCCAGGTAGGTTCACCCAGGCCAGGGTGGGCTAGGGGGGAGATGGGGCAGGGGGCGGGGCGGGGTTGGGGGGCTGGCACCATGAGGGAACTGTCCTGCCTGGGACTGCCTGACTGCAGAACAGCTGGGCTTAAACCTGGGCCACCTGGGAAATGGGAACATAGCGCTCCTGGAGCAAGCATCCAGCTGCATTCAGTAAGTGCCTGCTGTATGCGGGGCTCACCTCAGCTGGCGGAGAACTGCAGTCCAGAGGACGCCCATTCCAGGGAAAATGTTTCCTCCTGTGAAGCTGGGGGAGATTCCTCATTAAAAAATCCAGATTTCCAGCTTTTCTTAAAAATACTGGCCCACATTCCCTGGGCCACCATCTGCTGCAGCCTCAGGTGCTCATGCATGGCAGGGGGACCCCTCTAGTTTTCCAGAGACCCCACCAGGACCACCCAGTTCACTCATGAGGCCTGGCCTTGGGGTATTTGAGATGGAGACTGACACCTCAGCAATCCAGGTGAGGACGCAGACTCTGAGTTCAGATCTGCTGGCCAGCTGGGGACCGCCTTAAGTCCCCACCTGTAAAGCAGGAATGAGAACGCTCGGCTTCCGGAGAGTGCCAGGCCCCGAAGTGCTTGCTCAGCCCCACGTGAGGCTAGGAGCAGGGAATCAATACCTGTTCATTGAATCCTAACGGGAATCTCCTTGGGAGAAACAGTTCTCAGGGCATCACCTTTGGAGGGAAGGCGTTTCAGATCCCTTCTGGAGAGCTTGGGGAAGGGAGGGGTAGGAAGGGAGCCTGGGGGGATGGGGAGGGAAGGGGGGAGTCTCCGCTGAGACTCAGGGAAAACATGCCCTGAGTGGGTAGGATGAGGGTAGGCAGGGGTTTTCTCTCCGTTCTGCTTGGGGCTGAGCCTTTGGAGCACAGAAGTCTGGTCGGACTGCACTGTCAGCCAGAGGCTCTGGTTCCCGTGGGCCTTCATTAGTGAGTGCCCCCCCACCCCACCAAAGCCAAGGTAAAAATGAACACACTCAGTTTTATTCGGGGTGAGGTCACAGTGGTGACACGGGACTCAGCACCCTTAATAATGCTCATAATTACAGTCGGTGCTGCCTGTAAGCACTGCCTCTTGGCCAGGCTGGCTCCTACAGGGCCTTTTATAAGAAGGGCAAAATGGCACCCCTCCTGGTGGAGGAAGCACATAAAAGTACGCCTGTCTGTTTGGACAAGTCTAAAAGATGTCCCTTCCTTTGGGCTGAGGCAGGGTATAGGAGCTCCAGCCTTACTTGCTGCCTAGAACAGGTGTTTTTGAGCAGTGCACAAACTGAGTAACTGTCCATGACATTCCAAATAGCCTTTCCTTGCACCATCTCATTTAATGCTCACACACTCCCTTGGAGTGGAGAGACCATTATCAGCCCTGTTTTATAGCTAAAGATACTGGAACTCAGAGAAGCTGAGTACCTTGCCCAAAGTCACCCAGCAGGCAGAACTGGAGCTTCAGTTTAGGCTTTTGACTGTGGAGAAGTGTCCACTGCCTTAAGCTCTGAGTGTAGGAATGTGGGGCCCCTGGGCCCATTTGTGGAATCCAGTCTTTCCCCCAGATACCCACATAGCTCACTTCCTCGCCCTCTCAGGTCTCAGTCCAGAGGTCGTCACTCTCTCAGGGGAGTTGTTCAGTCGCTAAGTTGTGTCCGACTCTTTTGACCCAATGGGCTGCAGCACGCCAGGTTTCACTATCTTTCACCATCTCCCGGAGTTTGCTCATATTCGTGTCCATTGAGTAAATGATGCTGTCCCACCATCTCATCCTCTGCCACCCTTTTCTCCTTCGGCCTTCAGTCTTTCCCAACATCATGGACTGTAGCCTGCCAGGCTCCTCTGTCCACAGAAATCTCCAGACAAGAATATTGGATAAGGTTAACATCCATCCTCCAAGGGATCTTCCTGCCCCAGGGGTTGACCCCCATCTCCCGCACTGCAGGATCTTTATCGTCTGAACCACCGGGGAAACTCCTCAGGGGAGTTTCCCTCTCTGCGGTCATCTTCCCTCTGGCCTTGAGGCTTCCTCTGGTTCCTTACTGCCCTGTGGCTTAAGCTTTCTTTACAGCTCAGTCCAGAATATTGTGCTTCATTTGTCTCCTGACTGTTCCCCCTACTTGAAGGTCAGCCCTGTGAGGCAGGAAGTTTGATTTGTTTCATTCACTGCTATATCCCCACCACGTAAAAGTTACTCAGTGAAGGGTGGACGAATCAGTGAAAGCCTGGCTCTCACTGGCCAGTGGGAAGAGTCGGCAAAGTATTAGTCATAATAAGAGTTATAACAGTAATGTTTAGCACACATTGTCTCACCCTTGGCACTCTTGACATTTGGGTTTGGGGTGCGGAGTCGGGCTGACCTGGGTGTTGTGTTCATGGGCTGTTGAGTGGCACCCTGGCCTCTCCCCACTAGATGGAAGTAGTAGCCCTCCCACACACACACTGGGACAACCAAAAACAATCTCTGGACTTTACTAGATGTTTCATCTAGGGGCAAAGTCGCTCCACATTGAGAACCACTTGTCTAACATGACTAAGCAGCTTACACACTTCCTTGCAATCTGCTTGTAAGTTCCCTTTCCCTCCAAAGCAGACCCTGAGATAACGTCTTGGGTGGAGGGAGTTTATCTAGTAGGTGATCCCAGAAAGTTCTAGTTGGAGAGCAGAGAGGCAAGACCCTGGGCTTCCAAGCCTTAAGGGTCTGCACTTTTATGGGAGGCCTTGACCAAATTTCAGTATTCCAAAAAGTATGTCAAAGTGTGGGCTTCTCTGGCAACTCAGTTGTAAAGAATTCACCTGCAAGGCGGGAGCTGTGGGTTTGATCCCTGGGGTTGGGAAGATCCCCTGGAGCAGGAAAATGGCAACCCACTTCAGTATTTTTGCCTGGAGAATCCCATGGACACAGGAGCTTGGCGGGCTCCAGTCCACGGTGTCGCAAAGAATCAGACATGGCTGAGCACACAGCACACACAAAGCTCAGTGTGTATGTTTCCCCATGTAGGATGCGTTAATACATTTCCTGTTTAGTGGAAAGTAGCATTGAAAATATATTTTCTAACATTAAGCCTGAGGTGATGGGGAAAAAGAGGGAAGAAACAACAGAAGACTGGAAACAGAGATCTGGAACCATGTCACCCCTCTCATCTGGAAGTTGCAAACAGCTGGTCTGGTCTGTTGTTTCCATTTCTACACCAAGAGCAACCATCTCATAACCACATCGTACTCTTTTAAAGAAAAAGCTAACCAGCAATTTTACCAGCTTCCATCCACGTGCTCTCAAAGGCACCAGACAGCACATCAGTCTCTTTATTTTGTCGTGTTTTGGAGTCAGACCAAAGCAGAGGCCAAAAGCAAATGTGATCCCAAACCAGTTTTATTTGATCTCCAAAGCACGTTTTAAAAAAAATTAATTGCCAACATTTAAAACCAAGTTTATCTTTAAAAAAAAAAAAATACAGACTTAAAAGTTTAAGAAAAAGAAAAGGCCACCCAAGGACTTCCCTGGTGGTTCAGTGGTTAAGAATCCAGCTTCCAATGCAGGAAACGTTGCTTTGATCCTGCTCGGGGAACTAAGATCCCCATGAGGCAGCTAAGCCCACGCGTCCCAGCTACCGAGCCTGTGCACTCTGGAGCCTGCGTGCTGCAGGGAAGCCCCATGTACTGCAACCAAGACTCGATGAAGCCAAATAAATAATATTTAAAGCAACACACCACCCAGAGGCTCTGAGAACACGGGGAGTGGCTGGCCAGAGCTGACCGACTGCTGAGCCATTGAGGCAGAACAGTCTCCAGTTGGCTGTGGTCCTACCCAGCCTGCCTTTCTCCCTTATTCTGCTTCTCTGTCCCCAGAGACATTTGGGTTTTCAACCCCTGTTTGGGGGTTTGAAGACCTTCCAGTCTACTACCTGGTCACTCTTGCCATTAAAAAATGTATTGGTTAGACAACAGGCCGTCAGGCTGTAACTAAAAGACCCGTAAGCCAAGGGGCCCAGCCTATTAAATATTTCCTTCTCCCTTGGATGAGAGGCCCGAGTTGACAGATGGTCCACAGCAGGCAGGTGGCTCTGCTCCACAGTCACCCAGGGACCGAGGTTCCCTCTGTCTTGTTGCTCCATGTGGTCGAAGTGGCCTCCAGTCTGCAGGTTGCAGGAAAGAGAGGGAAGGGGACAGACAGGCATCAATGCAAGGGCAAGACAGAGAGCCACATTATCACCTCTGCTCACATCCCATTGGCCAGAACTCAGATTGCAGGGCCATACCTAGCCACAGGAGCTGCTGGGAAATGTAGTCTCCAGCTTGGCTACCCAGTGCCTAGTTGAAACTCAAACATCTGTTACTAAAGGGAAGAGGTGAATTTTTTCAGGAGAACCACGTTGTTTTGTTTCTCCTTCGGGAGGGTCAGCGTTTCTTCATGAGATGTGAGTTCCCCCATTCCAAGAGGCTGGGGCACTTCTCGGCTGCCTGAAGAGGGCACTGACGTAACCATGCGTTATCTTGTCAGTTTTAGACTGGCTAGTACAGCCGAAACCTCGATGGCTTGGGGGCAATGGCTGGCTCCTGGATGGCCCGGAGGAAGTGTTGCAAGGTACCTGTGGGGTGACGCCCAACCCAACGGCACAGCCAGGGTCCCCCCCTTTTCAGGCTGCCCCAGAAAACTGAAAACCGGGGCAGCCTCTGCTCCAGGAGGCTGCTTGTCCTCAAATGCCCAGCCCTCTTGAACCGTCCCCACCCCCATGGAAGGGTATGACCGGGACTTGGCCAGTCTCTCAGAATCTCCAGAACACCGTAGGGTTCGACTATCCCTGGGACTGGGGCCCTCCTTCCTGGGTGGAGAATTCAGAGGGGGGTGGGTTTTCAGATCCTTAAAATCACCATGTGGGTTCATTGTTCCCTGCCCATGAGGCCTCCTTGGGGGCAGGGGTGGTGGAGGACAGTTTCTGAAAGGGACAGGCAGGCCGGGGGTCTGGACCACTGCAGGGCCGTGGGTGTGAGTGAGCACCGTGCTGTGTGCAGCTGTGCTTCGCGGCTCTGCACACACACGCGTGCACCGCTGTGTCCATTAGGATGTGCGGCTGTTCATGGAGCCCAGTGGCTGTGCTTGTGGCTGCGTGTCTGAGTATTTGTGTGGCTGTGTTCATGAAGGTGTGTGTGACTACAGATGTGAGCGTGTGTGTGCAGGATGTGTTTGTGTGCGTGTGCGTACGGGTGCAGCTATATGTATGTGTGTATGTGTGTTAGGACTTGTGGGGTAGTGCAACTGTATATGTGTATTGGGATTTTGGTGTGTAAGCATATGTGTATGTGTGACCGTAAATGTGAACACGTGTGTTTCAAGGTGTGTAGGTGAATATACATTATATGTGTCATAATGTGTGTGAGGGCGTGTTTGGGGTCATTTGACTTTGAGCTGCCCTCGTGTGCATGTGTGTGTGTGTACGCGTGCACGCAGAGACCCCAGGCGCAGCCTGGCATCTGGGTTGCAGACAAGAGGCAGCCCCTCTGCCCCGCCGGGGCCGCCCCTGAGCCCCCGCGTGTCCCCTGCCCCGCAGCAGAGGCCTGCAGCACCACCGAGGACGGGGCCGAGCCGCTCCTCTGCCCCTCAGGCTACGAGTGCCACATCCTCAGCCCGGGGGACCTGGCCGCGGGCGTCCCCAACCGGGGGCAGTGTGTCAAGCAGCGCAAGCCAGCAGGTGAGTGCAGACACCAAGTCCCCCCTAGCCCTCCCGGAACTCCCCCATGGGAGACCATCCGAGAGGAAACTCTGGCCTCTGAGCCTGTCCCCGCCCTCCCCCGTCCCCCCGCCACGACCCTGCTCCAGGCCACTTTCTCCCTCCTCATCTGCACAGGACGAGGGCAAAGCCCAGCTCACCGCTTCCTGCCTGGCTCACCTTGGGGTCAGTTGTTTCAAATCTCTGAGCCTCAGTTACCTTATCTGTAAAATGATATCACTTCATGTTGAGTTAAGGGGTGATGGAAATCACATGTGTGAAGCCAGAGCTGGGACAAGAGATAAGAAGTGCTCAGTAAACACTGGATAATTTACTTCTATTAATATCTATCTATCCATTATAAATTGCACAATATTTGAGTTGTCCAAGAACCCTTAACTTCCCCCTGCTGGGACCCTTCAGTATGACTTAATATTTGTCTTTGGAGACAAGTCAATAAATAGTTCAGTGAAGGGCCTGAGTAGCGTGGCTTTAGTTTGCATGCTTTTCTCTGGGGTGAGGGGCACGGAAGATGGAACAGAGGGGGACTGCTGGGGGGACCTGAAGCCTTTCCTGCCTCATGCAAAATGTAAGGTTGAGAAGTTAGGCGTGGAATTTTCCAGGACTATGTGCAAGGGAAGAATCGGGCAACCTTGTCAAAGTTGAGCTCATTGGAGCTTTGAGAACACATTCTCCAGGCCCACGCCCCCACTTCAGCATCCCTCAGCCCTAATAGCTGAGGACAGCACCTCAGTCAAGATCAGGATAGTCACAGTGACCCTGCTGGCCCAGAGAACCCACCACGTGCATTTTCTGCCAAGGCATTTTTCCTCTGATTTGAGAATTTTCTTTCTCTGAGGTATCTCTGGAAAGACTTAAATGTTAAATCTCTTATACATTTAGCATTATCATCATTGTAAATAATAAAATTATGAGGCACGGGACTGTTGCAGGTATCTTGGTTCTTGGAATTCTGAGCTCATTTTGAAAAAAAAAAAAAAGTTGCATGTAACAGGTTCATAACCAACCGGGAATCTGAGATTTCTCCTTTATCCCACTTGCTGTTAGGCATATTAATGGGTTCTCCAGCCAGAGCGGCCACTTAGCTGCTCCCTGCTGCATGTGGCATGTAGCCCAGCCTCTTCAGGTCTCACTTTCCTTATCTATAAGCTGGGCTAATAATAGTTAAGCTGGGACTTCCTGGTGGTCCAGTGGTTAGGACTCCATGCTTCCAGTGCAAGGGGTGCAGGTTTGAGATCCCTGGTCTGGGAACTAAATTCCCACATGTTGCAAGGCACAGCCAAAAACAAAATAGTTAAGCTACTTCACAGACTCTTTGAAGAGCCAATGAGTTAATCTATGTAAACCACGTCTGTAGTTTCTCAAGCACAGACCTGAATCCGTTCTGTTTTCCCCACTGCTGTCTGTAGACACCACATTGCACCACAGGTGGACCGGGCCCCCCGCCATCTTCCAACGCATAGCCCCAAGGACAGGCCAGCCTGTTCCAGAAGAGAGCTGGTGGGGCGAGAGCCAGGGAGGCAAGTCAGGAGTCCTCTGAGCCGAAATGTCATTTTTCTAACCAGAAAGGCCTGGAATTACCGGGCCTTTCTTATCGCCCTATCGCACTCATTCAGTTACGTGATCTCCAAGACCAGGGTCAGTCAAACAAGTTCAGACCGGTTCTTGAGGAATCAGACCAATTCAAAGCAGACCCACTTGGAGGATGGAGATCAGCAAAGGGACATTCAGGTGACTGCACAAGATGGTTCCTGAGGTTGATGGAGGCCCCCGTGGGTGCTCCCCTAAGCCTTAGTGCAAGCCTGCAAAGGGAGAAGCGTGACCACAAGCAGCGTCGAGTGTGGTTAAGACTGTAGGCCACACGACATGTATTAAATGAACCTTAAAAACATTCCAATGCACAGTCACATGCACTCAGTCGCTCAGTCATGTCCGACTCTCTGCGACCTCATGGACTGTAGCCCGCCAGGCTCCTCTGTCCATGGGATTTTCCAGGCAAGAATACTGGAGTGGGTTGCCATTTCCTTCTGCTGGGGATCTTCCTGACCCAGGGATCGAACCCGCGTCTCCTCCATTGGCAAGCGAGTTCTTTACCACTGCACCACATGGGAAGCCCCTCCAGTATATAGTAGATGCAGACAAATACCACTTATATGTGGCACCTAGAATCATTGAGTTCATAGAGTCAGAAAGGACACTGGTGGATGCCAGGGGCCAGGGGTGGGGGTGGTATGGGAGTGGGGTGAGGAGTTAGTATCTAGCGGGGACAGAGTTTAAGAGGGAGAAAAAGTGGGGAGATGATGATGCTGAGGGCTGCACAACTGTGTGAATGCACTTAGTGCCACTGAGCCTGCAGTTAAATATGGTTAAAGGAACGTGAAAGTAAAGTCACTCAGTCGTGTCCGACTCTTTGCGACCCCATGGACTGCAGCCTACCAGGATCCTCTGTCCATGGGATTTTTCCAGGCAAGAGTACTGGAGTGGGTTGCCATTTCCTTCTCCAGTAAATATGGTTAAATAGTATATTTTATAGCATGTGGCTTTTACTACAATAAAAAAGCATTAAAAAAATAAAATATTTTCTGAAATTGGAAGAAAAGAAGCACCGTAAAAAAAAGACTGCAGGCCACTGAAATGGGGCTCAAACCCTGTGGCTTTCTTCCTAGATGACCTTGGGCAGCTAATCTAACTTCTCTTAGCCTCAGTTTCTTCATCTGTAAAATTGAGTGATTGGGGGTCCCCATAGTAAGTGCTTCCTGGGGTGGTGATGAGGCTTGGATTAGAGAATACTTCTAAAGCCCTCAGGTCAGTGCCTGACAGAGTAGGTCCTCAACAAATATGCGCTAGGGTCACCTGTCTTCAGGAAGGGGGCTGAGCCTGTCCACCTGTTCCCCGCCCAGAGGAATGATCGGAGCCTTCTGGATGGAAATGTAAATGAAATTTCCCCTCACCTCATCCCCAGAGGGCCGTCACTTAGCAGTTATTGTTGATAATTGTACAGGACTTTGGAAACATCTTAAATTCCAACAATGTTCCTTGGAGCAACGGTCTCTGGGAGGAGGGGGCACTCGCATCTCAGGGTAACCTAGGAAGATGCCTCTGGTTTTAAGTTTTTTTTCTTTTTTTTAAAAAGACATATATTTGACGTAATTTCTGACTTACTGAACAGTGGCAACGACAGTCCCTTGGACCCTCCACCATCATTCATTAGTCATTACTGTTTCTTCCATCGCACTTCTCTGCCTCTCCCCCCAGCCCACACCTTCCCCCTGTATAAATCTGCATAGGTGTTTGGGGGCACTATCTGAGAATAAATTACACCTCTCATGCCCACACCTAAGGTGAGCGCTGGCTGCCGCAGGGGGCTGAGGGCCATTCCGAGTTCAGTCTGGACCCTGACGTTGGGTCTTTCTTGAGAGGAAGATGAACATGGCCACAGGCTGTAGATCTGATTTCTCGGAGAGCAGAGCTGGGGTCCTCAGTGCATATTTTATTTATTTATTACAATAAATAAAATTATTATTTTACTTTATTACTGAAGTCTGGCTGATTTACAATGTTGTGTTAGTTTCAGTGTACAGCACAGTGATTCAGATATATACGTGTATATTTTATACACACACACACGCACACACACATACTTTTTCAGGTTGCCTTTCCTTATAGATTGTTACTGGCTTGTCCAAAATATTCATTTGGACATCTTAAGGAAAAGCCTGGACTAATATTTTGGCCAACCCAATACAAAGTATTTAGCAGGGTTCCTTGTACCATGCAGTAGGTTCTCACTGGTTATCTATTTTATATGTAGAAGTATGTACATGTTAATCCTAAGCTCCTAATTTACACCCCCTCCCCAGTACATCTTCTAAGTGGCTTCCATGCCACTCCAAGGCTGATGGGTCTCCACGCTCCCCTCTGACAAGATGACTTCACTGATGCTGCCAAAAGATAATGTGGTCATGCAGTCCTGAGCAGGGGCTCAAATCAATTGATTTCGCTTGTTAAAGTGACACTTTCGGTAAACACACCTGGTGCGAGGAGGGGGTCCATTTCTGCACGGATCACAGTGTCCTTCCCTTGGCATCAGGAACTAGAATCCATTCCCAGGGAGAAGGGAGGAGCAGGAATGTTTCAGAGAGCCTTGGGCCTGGAAAAAAGTTGTCATTCGCCTGGAAAATTGTGGTAAATAGTAGTCATTGAGATTGCTGATAAACTGTCTGCCAGAGGGTGTGGATCATCCCATTGGTTCTGTCGCCTTGAACAGTAAATGTCAGTGCTGGCCATGAACACCCTGATGATGGTTAGGATGTCCACAGAACAGAACGGTTTTTACTGAGATGTGATTGGAATATTAGTTCCAGGTGCACAATTGTGGTTGCCCTGGTAGCCATCAGAAAAGGCTCATGAGCGGATGGGGAGGGGCGAGCTGGCCAGTGGGAATTAAGTGTGAGCTGGCAAGGTTTCTCCACTCCACCATGTTACATTTCCCCAGCTCCCACCAGAAAGTGTTTCACTGCCGTGATAGGGTAGGGGCTGTGGAAGGGGGTGGAGTGGTTGACAGTCAGCAGTGGGTATTGGGTGGTGGGGATTCTCCGTAATTTGAGACAAATGAAATTATCAAGAGTTGACCACTTTTTACACACAAAAGTGACTGATTTGAGTGGTTTCTGATAATCTTTGCTGCAAGTCTATGTTTCCAATGAAAGCATTTCTGTTAATCCTCGTGATAACTTAAGAGGTATTGATTTTATGCCCATTTATGGTAAGAAAACTGAGACTCTGAGTAGGTTAGTGAGCAGTGAAGTTTCATAACTGAGTTGTTTTGTTTACAGTAATGACTTTCAAGTCTCTTTTGAACAGACTCAAAGACTGCTGTTTGCTTTCCTTGTGAATGTATTGTGTAATGACATTTGCTGAACAATATTTTGGAATTTGCTTCCAGTTTATCTCTTAAGATTCTTAAGGTTCTTAAACTTTATATTAGAAAAAATACTGAGGGACATCCCTGGTGGTCCAGTGGTAAGACTCTGCACTGCCACTTCAGGGAGTGTGGGTTTGATCCCTGGTCAAGGAACTAAGAGCCTACATGCCGTGTGGCAGAGCCAAATCAAAACCAACAACTTAATTTTAAAAAATACTGAGAACCCAACAGAGCCTTGTGTGGGTTCTGGCTATGGACATTTACCATATTCAAAAATTAAGCTGAGACATTCCAAATATTTAGCTGATTCATGTTGATATAGGGCTTCCCTGGTAGCTCAGCTGGTAAAGAATCCGCCTGCAATGCAGGAGACCCCGGTTCAATTTGTGGGTTGGGAAGATTCCCCTAGAGAAGGGAACAACTACCCACTCCAATATTCTGGCCTGGAGAATTCCATGGATTGTATCATCCAGGAGGTCACAAAGAGTCTGACATGACTGAGTGACTTCACAGACACAACACACACAACACATGTCGATACATGGCAAAAACCACCACAATATTGCAATTGTCCTCCAATTAAAATAATTTTTTAAAGTGACAATGATGAACTCACTATGGGGTGAACAGAAATAGCATTTTTCTTAAAAATGGCTCTGTTTTCCAACATACACACAAAGTGGGCAGAGTGGCATGGTTTTACATATTTGCAGTTGTAATATGTGTATTCAGAGGACTGGATCTTCATGTCTGCATCTGCATTGGATGGGCTTCAGTGTCACACGTAACATAGCTTCTGAAAAATTCCACCATACACTTGTGAGACAATGAGAGTGAAAAACACAAATCATTTCTTAGCACTGTTATGAAAATAGTTTTGACCTCATAAACTCCCTGAAAGGAACTTAATCCTCTCATTTCTTTTCCAGATGGTCGATTCTTACGACAGAAATTTTACAAAGAATATCCAGGTAGGAGAAGGCCCATTCTTTCCTTACAGAGGGTACTGAAAATGGTGGTGGGTGTTTCTGGAGTGAAGAAGAGAAAGAAGCCCCATGGGCTGTCCTGAGAGCTCCAGTCTGCAGCTGCTATGAAGGAAAATGACTGTATTCCACCTGGTGGTTCTTATGCCATCAGGTGGCCCTTTGGGGGTCAGATGCTAGGAGGCTAAGATGGTTCTGTTGTGCAAAATCTCTCCTCCAACCTGAGCAGTCCTCCCCATGGGGTGGGAGCCACTCCAGGCTGCAGGCTGGGACTGGGGCAGCAGCTTAGGGATGGCTTATGGGGACAAAGTGGGAACTAGGATTGGGGAATAAAGGAGACACCCTGTTGTCTGATGGTGGGCAAGAGGACTTACAGCAAACACAGCTTCATGCTAAACATCAGAATGTAGGACTTGACGTACAAAAGCTTCTCCTACTTTCATTCAGGGAATTGAAAAATATGGTTGACACCATCTTTCCAGCCAGTCATCTATCCAGTTGTCCACGGATCCATCCATTCATGCAATCATCCACCCATCCAGTCTTCCACCCATCCAACCATCCAGTCTTCCATCCAACCATTCAGTCCTCCTTCCATCTATCCATCCATCCATGCTGTCTTCTATCCATCCAGTCTTCCATCCATCCATCCAGTCTTCTATCCATCCAGTCTTCCATCTATCCATCCATCCAGTCTTTCATCCATCCAACCATCCAGTCTTCCATCCAACCATCCAATCTTCCTTCCATCTTTCCATCCATCCATCCCATCTTCTATCCATCCAGTCTTCCATTTATCTACCCATCCATCCATCCTGTCTTCCACTCATCAATCCATCCATCCATCCTTCTGTCCATCCAGTGTTCTGCCCATCCACCCAATAATTCATTCAATCATCCATCCATGTGTTCTTCCATTCATCTACTATATTTTTTAAAGAATTGACAGTACATATTTACGAAGGGAAGAATACAACAGAGGATAAAATGGTTGGATGGCATCACCAACTCAATGGACATGAGTCTGAGCAAGCTCCGGGAGTTGGTGATGGACAGGGAAGCCTGGCGGGCTGCAGTCCATGGGGTCGCAAAGAGTCAGACACAACCGAGTAACTGAACAAACTCTTTATTCTGTGCTGGAGGTTGAGGCTACATTTGTGATTATGGCAGATCCAGTCCATGGCATCAGGCAGCTAATATCAAGCAGGAAATCACAAAATGAATAAAGTCCAAGTGGTTATTTGGTGACGACGGTGATCAGGACCACTGAGGTCACATTCAGGACACCATGAAAATAGACGGGGATGTCAGGGAAGGCTTCCTGAGGAGGGGACACTGAAGCCCAGTGTGAAGAATAAGAAACAGCGGGCAGAGCATCAGTGGATGTGACAGTCGTGAGGCTGAAGCAACTCGGCCATCACAGCAGCTGAGCACGTCATGAGCACAGGGTCGGGGCAGGGGCAGGCAGGCTACACAGGTCAGGGGGGCCTGGGGAGGAGGGAGAATGGCTGCAGGTGGGGACTGGGGGACCTCATTTGGGGGAGGAGAGGGGTCAGAGCCAGGCTGAGGCATTTAGAGTTAGTCTGGCTGCTGAGCTGTGAGCACCTGAGCAGGAATCCACACACCTGGCCTGACTGCCCGATTCTTCCCGCAGAGGGCGCCTCCAAGTATGTGGCAGAACACGGACAGGGACAGCAGAGGCACTTTCAATAAAGCAGCAGCGGCGGGTAAGCGGGAGGCGTGATCGGTCAGTGACAGCGGGGGGCTTTGGGCAGCCAGGCGTCCGACGTCGCTTTCGTCACGAAGTTGATCAATAGGAGGGCAGGAAGAGGGCTGACCTGGGGGAAGACTGTGACAGTGCCCCTGTAACTTCAAAGTGAACACGTGAGCTCCTTGGGTGTAATCAGCAGTAGACATTCCCAGAGCCCGTGACTCTGAACCCGAGGACCAGCCTCACCTGTGACTGACTTTGCTTTTGGCGGCGGACAGCAGACACGCCCTCTGCTGCCGCGTGACCTTGGTCGGCCGCCCCCTCCCTCTGCCGCGCGGGACTGTCCACGGCCAGCTCTCAGGCACGTGGCGCCACCGTCACTGGTGGAAGTCTCCAGGATGCAGACGCGTGCATGGGGGACGCCGTGGGTTAATCAGGGCTCCCGTTAGGGCTGACATCCGCACAGGAGCCCAATCCCGCCAACTAGCAGGACGGGCACGGCCTGCAATGGCGTCCTAAAGGGCGTTGGACAGACAGGTGACATGCCTCTGGGTAGGAGGGGACTGCTTCAGGTGGAGGTCAGGAAGGTGAGTAGGTGACATCGGAGTCAGCATCTGACACGGGCACCCAGGCAGAAGGAGCCAGAAGGAAAGAAGTCCCAGGGCAGGAAAGATCTTACTGAGGAGCCCCATGGAGGCCGCTGGGGTGGGAACAGAGTGAAGGTGGCTGCGGCCGGCACCAGAGGTGACCGCGTAAGAAGGCACGGCTACGCTCTCAGGCGTTCTCCAAAGTGAGATACAGGCGGGTGCAAAGATCCAGTAAAACCTGAACACCCACCCAGCGCTCTGACAGCTCAAGCCTGTGCACGGTAAACAGAGCCCCCTGAAAGCAGGTGATTTACCCCGAATGTCCTTGAAGGGCAAACATCAGGTTTCAGGTTCCAGAATCTTCAGGTGTGAGTCCTACAGGAAAAGCTAGAGCCCGTGGGGATTGATGCCAACACGTCTATTACCTGCTGATGACAGGAACAGTCCTTGGAGTGGCTCTGACCCACCTGAGTCTGTGAACCTCACATGGGGAAGTGCTGGGACCAGTGGGAAAGAGCAGGGTAGTGAGAGACGAGGTAGGATGCCTCTTAGGAACCAGGCGGCCAGAACTGGGTTTAAACTCCTGCTCCACCACCAGGTGATCTTAGGCTAATGTCTTCCCCTCTCCAAGCCTCAGTTTCCATATCTGTAAAATGGGAGTGATGAGGAGGGATGCATTAGGAACTTAAATGAGATGGGAGAGGAGATCAAGATGGCAGAGTAGGAGGACTGGGAGCCCACTTGCCCCCACGAATGCATCAAAAATACATCTGCACGTGGATCGACTCACTGAAAACACACTGGAAACTGGCAACAAGATTCTAGCACAACCAAGGTTGTAAGAAAGATCCACATGGAGTCAGATAGGAAGGTGGAACCCAGAGAGGTTTAGCGGTGAGTCAAGAATTGAGTCTTGGCAGAAGCTGGCATCTTTCTGGTGCTTCTGGTGGGTGAGGCAGAAGTGGATGAAACATACTTGTCACCTGTTCTTGGGTTCATATTCATTCCTTCTTTCTTTCCCTTTCAGCCTGTCTGCAAGAACATTCCTCCACTTTCTGCTGAGCCTCAGAAATCATCGGGTAAAAAATGATTTGACCCCCGAGGTCATGCCCAGCCTGAGAGAGCATGACCCCAGCAGTGTTTGGAGACAGGGCCCCTGGCTCTTAGACCTGGCGTGGCCCGACCTGGTGGGGTGACTTCATGGGAGCCACTCACTAGCTTCAGGTTCCTGCTTTATTGTCCTGGAAATGAGGCCCTCCTAGTTGTCCCCTGACCTTGCCACCCCCAGATCTGCCATGGGAAGAAGTCACTGCCTTGGGGAGCTGTGTGAAGGTCAGTGTTTTGGTTGGCACAGGTTTCTTCCAGGTTTGACTCTGGGAGACATGTACCCCTCCCAAATGTTCTCGAGATAAGTCTGCTCATCATAAAATGGAAATGAACTCACCTGCTCACGCGTGATTCATAGTTTTGAGCACCTGATGACCTTAAATTGGATGTGCTGGAGCTGTGGAATCTGAGGGTTGGAGGTGGTGGGTGTGATGGGAATGAGCTGTCTGCTCAGCTCTGCTTCTGGACCCCTGGACTATCGGGGCCACATGCATACCCTGTCGGCGTGGATTCCCTCTGAAGCAGACCCTGGGAGGAGGATTGGACTTATTAATTAGGAAGTGATTTTAGCAGGAAGGTTCCTGGGGAGAGCTAGCACGGTCGTACCAGGTGATGTAAGGTGGTCCTGCAGAGGGTAACTTTGGTGAGACCCGCCACCCCCCATGGTGGTCCTGGAGGCAGCCTGCTTCCCCTCAGGGCCAGCTCCAGGGGCCGCACCCATCACGTGCTCAGAATGGCCTTACACTTGGTTTAACAAAGGTGGGCAAGGGGCTGCATGTTTGTTTAACAAATGATTCAATGGGTTTGAGTCCCTCTGTGGAGTTGGCCCCACTGGAGGACAAGGGAACTGAGCCCCGCTCAGTGGTAGGGTAAGGGCCGCTCCTTGGAGGATGGGTCGTCAATTCCAGGGGTAGCCTGGAAAGGGACCCACAGAGAATGCAGACAGAGCCCTGGGGGGCATCTGTTACAGAATCCAGATCTCAGCCGTGACTGCACAGAAACGGACACATATCCAGAGGCTTTGGGGGGAAGTGATTCAATTCACCCAGTAATACTTACCCCCGCCTCTGTAAGACAGCCCCATGGTGACTGGTGGGTCAGTGGTCAGTCATTTGGCAGGACTTGACCTTTTGAATTCCAAGAGGGGCTTGTGTGGAGACTCCTGAGTATCCGTATTTTATTTATTAATATTTTCAGTTGGAGGATAATTGCTTTACAGTGTTGTGGTGGTCTCTGCTATACGTCAACTAAAAATAAACTAGGAATAAAACTACCATATGACCCAGAAATCCCACTACCATGCACATAACCCTGAGAAAACCACAGTTCTAAAAGATGCATGCACTCCAAGGTTCACTGCAGGACTATTACTTTATTTTTAATATATATTTATTCACTTGGCCACACCGGGTTTCCGTTGCAGCCTGCAGGATCTTGCATCTTCATCATGGCATGTGGAATCTTTAGTTGTGGCTTGTGAACTCTTACTTGCAGCTTGTGGGATCCAGTTCCCTGACCAGAGATGGAACCCGGGCCCCCTGCCTTGGGAGCGTGGAGTCTTAGCCATTGGACCACCAGGGAAGCCCCCCACATTTTAAAAACAAGCATCTCTCCTCACCCCTGTCCCTCCTCCACTGACCTTCCCTCACCTAGGTCCACACTCTTTCTCCCACTAAAAGCCATATGCTCTTGGAAAACACCCAAAGTCCAGTTTAAAGTGGAGATTGATGACTGATGGGCCTTTTTTGTTGTTGTTTTTTGTCATTTCTGAGCATCAGTGCGTTTGTATTGCTCAAGAATTATTTTGATGCTTTCTTTGTTTCTGTGTGTGGAACATGAGGGAAAAGCAGTCAAGCGATTCATGTCAAAGTTGTGTGAAGTGTGCCTTTGTCACATTGGCTGGGGGCGGTTTGGATCTTCCTGTTGATGGAAAAGGAAGATGCCTTCATCCAAGAATGGCAAACCCAGCCAGAGACAGATCTGCTCTGCTTCTTGGAGACTGCGGTTTATGTCCATCCATTGCAGGCACAAGCCAAGTTGTGGGGTTTATAACATGTGGTTTCAGGGGTCACAGTGTAGGTCACCCACGAAATCCCCAGCACCTTACCTGTCTGTGCTGGAGGGTCCATCTAGCTGGTCTGGACAGGCCCTGAGCCTGTGGTTGCCTGAAGCTCCCTTGGGGACGGGGTGGGGATGAGCAGCCAGACCATCAGGGCTGAGGACCAGCAGCCTAAGGGACTGTCCCCTTCTTCCCTGGCCATAAGTGGTGGGCACCAGCAGTTACAACCAGCAGAGACTTGAGTGTCAGAAATCTGAAAGGATCCACCTAAAATCACACAGCCTGTGGTGCCAGAGTCAGGATTCCAAACTGGGCTGTCCTGCTCACAGCTCAGGCTCCAGAGACCCAACAGTTCCATCCATGCACGTTCCCTCCAGCCGTGGAGGCCCAAAAGGGGACACTGCCAGTGTGCAGACCCGCAGAGGGGCCTGGGGACAGGGCTGAGCTCACCTCCCCTAGAGGGCTGCCCACGAGATGGGGTGGGGAGAATGGAGGCTGGTCAACCTGTCCTGATCCTGGGCAAGGCACTTCCCCTCTCTTGGAGCCTCAGTTTCTCCCTCTGTGAAATGGGTGTGATGAGATGGCTGCCTTTCAGAGTTGCCGGGGAGGATTATGAGAGAGGGTGTACAGAGAGTGGTCAGCAGCTATGGTGATCATTCTTTGGTATTATTACCTTGGCCCTAGACTCCCATGTAGGCACAACGGCCTCCAGTTGAGCCCCTCTGGTGAAGCCCAAATACTGAGACTCCAGTTTGTCTCACTTCATCCATCAGTAAGTTTCACTGGTACATTGCCCTTAGGTTCTGGGTAATTAACTTCCCATTCACTCATCAGGTATTCATTCACTCATTCATACATTCCTTCTATCAAGAAATATTTACCAAGCGTGAACCACCTTTTCTTGGCAAATCCAAGATGCACCTCCCCACCCCCCTGCCACCTTTCCACGTCCCCTGAAGCTGGGAAGTGTCCTAGTCATGACCACCAGGCGTCATAGCCTGCACGTAAGCACAGTGAAACATGCGGGCTGGGTGTCAGCAGCTCAGTGGAAACTTTCAGGAAAAACCGAGGAACTGTCTTCTGGGAATTTCTGCGTCATCAGAACCTCGGGGGTTGAGAAGCCACGTTGGCAGGAAAACTCAGATACTTGCAACGCTGAGTGGAAAAGTGGTTGAAAAGGGTTGGAGCCTAGCGAGATGACCTTCTAGGAAAAATCTCGTCCCGTTTATTTCATGTATGTCTTCTTTTA